GAAAAAAAGTGAAAAACGTCAAAAATACAAGAAACGAGTGTCTAAACCTACCTTGGGTCATTAATAAAAAATGTCGGGGAGGCAATTTTACTATAACATCCGACTCTAATTAAAAAGTCAAAAACATATGACCGCACACGGTTTTAGACGTACCCCTTTTTGATCCCTAAATTTTTTATATAATCGTACGTTTTAGATGTATCAAAAAAGCGTATCAAAATCTTTTGAGTTTTGTTTATAGCGCTTTGCAAAAGGTGTTACCCCGTGATTTTTGTGATAATGATAGCAAGATTCCGACATCAAATCAGCGACATATATTTATTCGGAATCTGTAATCCCAGAATTGATTTCTCGTGATTCTACATGAATTGCATAACGATAAATTGGCTTAGATTTAGAGATACGTCAAGATACGCCACTACATATGATTAAATTGTCATTGTCACTGATGTTAAAATTTGAGATTTTGGTTTTAAAACATAAACCATACTAAAATCGCAAGTATCTGTATATCTGTATATAGCATATATACTCTTTACTAAACAACCCTAATTCCTAACCTAACCCTTAAAAAAAACCAAAAATTTTTAAATTTTCATATTAAAATAGGTTCAAATTTCATCGTCAGCCATAACAATGATAGAGAATGTGATGATCTAGTGCTAAAAATTCATCGTATATGCATCACAAAGAACTATCATTCTTCGCTTCACTTTACCCAGTTGTAGGATATTTAATATAAATGCTTTTTGAAATCAAATTTACTATGTAGCTACTTTTTTCTGATTATTATAATGCAAACAGTCCAGCTATATCTAAGATGCTATAATACTGTAATTTTAATGATCAAGTGTCATAAGAAACTTGTTAATAAAAATTAGTTATAGGTTGTTTTTTATTGGTTAATTTTTTTTTTTTTTTTTACAGTTTAAGGGATAATTACTGAATTTCAAAATCGAAAATTTCCCATCCTCTCATTATGTTAGCATTTTTTAATTTTTTCTTTTCAGCATCTATTGTATCTGTATGATCTATATTTTCACATACAGACAAGACGACTTTTGGTTTTTCGAAAGCAAGAGCAAGTACTTTTTTCAGCTTTTTACTAATCTCAGCTTCAAAATAACTTTATTTAAAAAGAAATTATATAAGTTAGCTGTGCAAATTTATATATAATCTGTAAATAAATTACCGAAACATATGTACGATCTAAAAAATTTTCAAGGTTGTAAGATTGTTTATTAAATTTATCTTGGAAAATCTTTGCTAAAGTAGCAACATTTGGAAGATAATGATTTTGCCAAATCTTTAAATAAACATGTAAAAATTAGTTAATAAAATTCCATAAAATGCATAAAAATAAATACTTATAAATATATTTGTACCTTTAACTCCCATAATGAACTAGCAATAGCGTTGCTCTCTTCATTGGATCCGACTCATCAAACATGTATGGATCTTCCGAAATATCATTAATACCCTATTATTATTTTAAACAATTTGATAAATCTTCTTTATGAGGAGTTATGATAAGCAATCATATGCCAACATACCTCCGTCTTAGATTTCGTATGGCCTGAGAATTAAACCATGCAACTCGGATGGCGTCCAATGAGGTTATAAATTAATGGTATCAATATTACAATACCATGAGGAGGACGAGACGGGACATCCTCTTTACAAATGATATGACAAGTTGGACAGGAAGATGACTATAAGATATTTATAAATATCCATATTATTTGATACAAACGTCGACGAAAGGAAAAGATCCACCAAACGAAAAAATTTGGATAGATATTTAACATGCATCAAGTTCTATCAAATAAATTATATAATTTTCTGTAGAAATCGGGATAATCCCAAGTATAAATATATGCATTAGAGTATAAGTAAATTAAAAGCTTTTAATTTAAAAAATCTTATAAGTTATGTTCGTTAATAAGGATAAAGAGGCCGTTGAGAGCTAAAAAACTAATAACACCGCCTAAAAAATGGTACGCTTATGAATTTAAAGCAATTAGATATGCCAAAAAATATTTGCATATACTAACTACCAGCATTATAGAGTTGGATCCGGACATCCGGTTATCCGTTTTACTCTACCCGTTTTATAAAAGTCGGATACAGTTTTTTATCCGTCAGATTACTATTATCGGGCTGCTAAATAACTTGGGTTATTTTGCAAAAAAAAGTTATCTGGCAGAAATTGATAGTTTATTTTGGTTATTCGGCAGAAATTGATGGTTTATTTTGGCAAAATTTGATATGTACGTACGTATCTGGTATGTAGTTTTACCTAAAGGAATATAGTCGGAAAATCAAAAGTAGTTGCGTATGACAGGCTTTATCATCATACTCCTGAAATAAAAAATAGTAAAAATATAGAAAAAACTGGTCCTACGTGAAGTAGGCTGTTGTCGATGAAGCCTAAGTTAAATGTGATATACCGAGGAGTGGGCGTTTCTTCAGTTTTAATAAATCAATTTCTGATAGATCTTTACATTCGTCTTTTTGAGTTTGTATGTTTAACAATAATTTATATAATTTTATTTAAAATGTTTGAAAGAATATTGTACACGTTTTGAAAATATTTTTTATTAATTAATGTATTTAATTTCAAATAAAAGTACAGAATAAAAATATATTTCTACTCATGAAATTTGAAAAAATAATTAAATTTAAGATGTGGATAACTTTAGAATCTTTTCTAAAATCATTGAATTTGCTTCAGCAAATGATAAAATGCCAAGAGAAATAAACTCTGATCATATATATACAATGTATTAAAACACGAACTACGAATACAAAGTAAACATGATTAAAAAAGCAAAATCGAACCACCAGAGTTTCAGCTTTATTAATACAACAAAAAAAATATTAATATCCTAGAAATGCGCACTTTTATTTTGTTCCAGGTAGGGCAGGTTTATGTCACTCGTCTCGCGGAATTCAAACTATTTTATTTTTTTAATTTACATCATAAACATAAATGCTAAAACTAAAAGAAACGTGCTAATTGTCGTTACATGGTCAGATTCATCCTTTTCCCAATTTTATTCTATCTCCAAACACATGAATTGATACAATTATCGCGATTAATGTAATAATGATTCAAAAGCTAAAGTTACCCTTGGGTTTATTTATAGGTATTATATGTAGTTGAAAGATACATGCAAGAGTTTCATTCAAAACGTTATTAGCAATTCAAGTCTTTAGCATATATACATTAACGCTACCCATCGCCATACCCAATGTAATTTTCTCAGCTGATAACCATTGAGAAATAAAAACGCAGAAATGGAAAGGTGACCGGCTCTCTTATTCCCATCCAAAAATGGTTGGTTTTTGATGATGCTTTCCCCAAGGCCGGCGGCCATTCTATAAATTGATGCTTTTTCATAAAAAAACATGAACTTTGGCCTATAAAAAGCGGATTCTAATAGGTCAATATCTCTAATAAGCTGTTGTTGACCCATACTCTTCATTAACAAATAGTGCCTTTCAGTAAAATGATCCAGCTCTAGCCATTTGGTTCATTATCATTATGAGGACCGTTTGTTGAATGTTTTCTGTCGCTATATTCACTTGTCTCGTGAACTCAAATAAAGATCCCAGTTTTTGCGGATAGCATAGTTTAGCGCTTCTTTTTGTAAGTCTTTTGGAGCCGTGCGGGCTAAAATGTAAGGACATAATGAATATGATCATAAAATAACGATGAGATTAGGCCACGCTAAGTTGATTTTTTTCGTTTTGCATTACCCGACCGACCCATTTTTAAAATTTTTTTTTTTTTAAGTGTCAATTGTGCCAATTATTCGATTTCTGCCATTTATTTTTTCCGTCATTTTAACCGACGGAAACAGCTTTCCGAAATTATCCGATATGGAAGCAGCAAAAAAAAAAAACAAAAACCAACCGACCGACCCAATTTTTCAGATCTATGTAATGCAAACCGAAAAATTAACTTTGCGTGGCCATAAGTTCTTATGCATCAATATCATTACCTAAAATTTCGCTCGGTTTTTTTCCTGAAAAATTACCAAACTCTGGAGGCAATTGATATTTGGGACGTCCGGACAAGCCTTAAATAAATAAATAAATAATAAACATAAGATTTACATCCTAAAAGAAAATACAAAAGCAAATTTAATACACACTGCTCAAGAAAACTCTCCATCGTGAAAATAAAGTTGAAAGACGCATGGTAAAAAAAAGAAAGCTTTCTGATAGACCACTTGTTAGCTAATTATATAAGAGTGATTGTCCGATTTCTTCAACATTTTTTTGACTTTTAGACTAGACAAAATTTGCGCATTTATCATTTGTAAAAATTTAATTGGAAATTTTAATGCGCAACACCTATTTTTGCAAATATATTACAAAATGATGAATATGCAACTTTTATTTCTATAAAAAATA